AATTTTGGCGGGTTATATATTTCTAAAAATCTATGCATTTAATCTAGGTTATCTAATTTGTTAGTGTAGAATTTTTCATAGTGTTCCCTTACAATACTTTTTATTTTTGTAGATTCAGTAGTAATGCCCCCACATTCATTTCTAATTTTGGTAATCTGAGTCTCTCCTCTGTCTCTGTCTCTCTCTCTTTCCCATGAATCTAGCTAAATGTCAGTTTTGCTGACTTTTTCAAATAATAAATTTTTGGTTTTATTGATACTCTCTGTTGTTTTTCTATTCTCTATTTTATTTATGTCTGCCCTAATCTTTATTTTGTCCTTTATTCTGTGGGTCTCATTGTTTTTTTTATTTTTTTATTTTTATTTTATTTTTTTAAAAGATTTTATTTATCCATTCATGAGAGACAGAGACAGAGGGAGAAGCAGGCTCCCCGTGGAGCAGGGAGCCCGATGCGGGACTCAATCCCAGGACCCCGGGATCATGACCCAAGTCGAAGGCAGACGCTTAACTGACTGAGCCACCCAGGCGTCCCTCTGTGGGTCTCATTGTAACTTGACATTCCTTTTCTAGTTCCTCAAGGTATGCAGTGAAATTATTGATTTGAGATCTTTTTTAAAATATATGCATTTACATCTATAAATATCCCTCTTAATACTGCTTTTGCTGCATCCTATTCATTTTGGTATGTTGTGCTTTAATTTTCATTCATTTTAAGATATTTTCTAACTTCTCTTATGATTTCTTCTTTGACACGTTAGTTGTTTAAAATTGTGCTGCTTAATTTCTACATATTTGTGAAATTTCCAGTTTTCCTTCTGTTATTCATTTCTGGTTTTACTCCCTTGTGAATAGAAAAAATGCTGTATATGGATTCAGTCTTTAAAAATTTATTAAGACTTCTTTTGTGGCACAACATATGGTCTATCCTGAATAATGTTGAATGCACTTGAGAAGGATATGTATTCTGCTAGTGTTAAGCCAAGTGCTCTGTATATCTGTGAGATCTAATTAGTTTATTGTGTTGTTCAAATCTTCTGTTTCCTTATTGATCTATCTGATTGTTATAGTCATTATTGAGAGTGGTGTATTAAAGTCTACAACTGTTATTGTCGAACTGTCTAGTCTTGCTTCAGTTCTTTCAATATTTGCTTCCTATATTTGGGGGCTCTTGTGTTAGGTGCGTATATGTTTATTATTGTTATATCTTTTTGCTATTTTGAACCTCTATCGATATATAATGTTCTTCTTTGTGTCTTGTGATCTTTTTGATTTAAGGCCTATTTTGTTTGACAATAATATAGCCTCTCAGCTCTCCTTTGGAACATTTTGGATGGAATATCTTTTCCCATCATTTTACTTTCAACCTTTGTGTGTCTTTGCATGTAGAGCGAGTCTCTTGTGGACAGATGGAACATGTTTTTTTGTTTGTTTTTGCTTTTGTTTTCCTTTTTTTGCCAATGTGCCAGTCTCTTCCTTTTAATAGGAAAGTTTAATCCATTTACATTTAAAGCATTTACTGATAAGGAAGAATTTCCTTCTGTAATTTGGCTGTTACATGTTTTGTTCCTCATTTCCTCCATTACAGACTTTTTTGATTTTTAGTTGACTTTTCATAGTGTACTAATTTGATTTCCCTTATTTTTCCTCTTTCTTTCTTTGCTTCTTTTCCTTCCTTTTGAAAAAAATTTTATTCTCTTAGTGGTTATCTTGGGGATTACAATTAACATTTTAACCTCATAGCAACCTAGTTTTAATAATACCAACTTATTTTCAATAGTATAAAAACATTTTGCTCCTATACATCTCTGTCCCTCCTTTATATTGTTATTGTCACAGATTGAATTTTTTTGAAGATTTCATTTATTTATTTGTGTGTGAGAGAGAGAACACAAGCAAGGGGAGCAGCAGGCAGAGGGAGAAGCAGACTTCCCACTGAGCAGAAAGCCCGATGTGGGACTTGATCCCAGGACCCTGGGATCATGACCTGAGCCGAAGACAGAGGCTTAACCAACTGAGCCATCCAGGTGCCCCACAGATTGCATTTTTATTCATTGTGTTCCCTTTAACATGTGGTATTGTTTTGTGCATTTGCCTTTGAAATGAAAGGTTGGTTTAACATTAAAAATCAATTATCATAATTCATTACGTGAGCATAATAAAGGAAAAAAATAACATCTCAAAAGACACAGAGGGAGCATTTAATAAATTCAGCATCCTTTAATGATAAAAATTTACAGCAATCTAGAAATAGAGTATTCTCCATCTGCTAAAGAATATCAACAAAATATCTAAAACAACAACATAGTTAAGGGTGGGCAATTGAAATTGGAATTGCTATGACCACTTCTTATTAATACGGCACTGAAGTCTTAGCTAGTACAATAAAACAAAAGAAAGAAGCAAAAGGATTGAAAAAGAAGAAATAGAAGTCATTACTTACAGATTACATTATTATGTAGGTAGAAAACAAAAAGAAACTATATATAGATTTAATAAAATAATTTAGCAAGGTCACTGGTTATAAAATCAAAATAGAAAAATCAGTGGTGTTTCTATGTATCAACATGTCTAGAAAAAGACTTTGAAAATTATACCATTTATAAGAGCATCAAAAAACATAAGATACTTGTGACTAAATCTAAGTAAAGTACTGTAAGAATTCTACACACAAAACTATAAGACATTATTGAGGAAATTAAGTAAAATCTAAATAAAAAGAAGGATATACTGTGGTCATGGATTGGAAGACAATATCGTGAAAACATTAATTCTACACCAACATCTATTGATCTATAGATTCAATGCAATCTCAGCAATATCTCAGCAGGGTGTGTGTGTGTGTGATGCTGATTCAAAAAACACATGGAAATGCAAATGACCAAAAATAGCCAGGATGATCTTCAAGAAGAAAAACAAAATGGAGAGTTACTCTTCCAGATATTAAGACCTATCATAAGGCTACAGTAATTTAGACAATGTGGTGTTAGTGCATGGATGGACTACAATCCAGGTGGGTTGTAAATATAAAAGTGAAAGGTAAAACAATAAAGTTTAAAGAAAGAGAAGATTTATATTCTTACAGGAGAATATTTATTTATGTTAGGGCAAGCAAAGATTTTTTTAAAACAGAACACAAAAATATTATAAATGTAAAGGAAGATATTACATTTATTATTAAATTAAATATTATTCTTAGAGTATATTAAAAGTAAGATCTGTATTTCCAATTTAGAGAATGAAAAGGTAATCTACAGAGTGAGAAAGAAGATTTGCAAAAATGTAATTGACAAAAGGGCTCACTTCCAGATTATAATAAAGAATTCCTATAAATCAAAAAGAAAAAGGATGCCTGGGTGGCTCAGGTCATGATCCCAGGGGAGTCTGCTTCTCTCTCTCTCTCTCTCTCTCTCTCTCTCTCTCGCTCCCTCTGCCCCTCCCCTCTGCTTATTCACGCGCTCTCTCTCACAAATAAATAAATAAATAAATAAAATCTTAAAAAAAAAGACAACCCATTTAAAAAAGGGCCAAAAGATGTGACCCAATGCTTCACATAAAACAATATATAAATGAACAATAAACATGAAGGGGTGCTCAACCATATTAACCATCAGGAAAATGCAATTTAAAACTACGAGGGGATGGGGGTGCCTGGCTGGCTCAGTCAGTGGAGCGTGCGACTCTTGATCTTGGGGTTGTGAGTTCGAGCCCCATGTTGGGTATAGAGATTACTTAAAAATAAAATCTCTAAAAAAAACTACAAAACTACAAGGGATCCCATTACAGAACACCTAAAATGGAAGGCTGACAACACTGGGTTTGTTGGTGTGATATGAAGCGATCGGAACTTTCATGCTTGGCAGGTTTGGTGGTATAGGGACGCCTGCTTTGGAAAATTGGCATCATCTAATAAAGTTGAGCATAGGAAAATCCACTCCTAGATAGGTACTCAGCACAAATGTACACATATGGTCACTAAAAGGCACAAAAATGCACCAATTTTATTTGTAAATGTGTGCAAAAGTTCTCATAAAAATATGAGTGAGCGCTCAGTAAAGATGAAAAGGCCTACGGGCATAAAGGAAAGGTGCTCAGGAATCATCGGGGAAAGGCAAGTAAAAACCATAGCGAGATATCATCTCACAGTGTTACGATGGCTACAACCAATCCAACGTGAACTCCCAGACGAAAGACACCAGGTCTGAAGATGTGGAGAAACTGGAACCTTGTTCACTCCTGGTGGTGGGAATGCAACACGGCGCTGTGCCATGGAAAGCAGTGTGGTGGCTCCCCAAACATTGATGGAACTACCTTCCCATCCAGCACCCTACTCCTGAGTATAAACCCCAAAGAATTGCAATCAGGATCTCCAAGAGATACCTACACTTCTGCGTTCATTGAAGCGTTATTTACAGAGGCAAAGGCCTGGTGGATGAGTGGATAAAGGACATGTGGTGTATACATACAATGGAATATTGTTCAGCCGTAAGGAAAAAGTTAATTCTGCCACTTACTACACGAAATAAGGCAGACACAAAAGGACAAAGATGATTCCACTTACCTGAGGGACTTGGTAGTCAAATGTATAGAGATAGCAAGTGGCAATGATGATTGCCAGGGGCTGGGGGCGGGAGGGAAGGGGAGCTGGTGTTTAATGGGTATACAGTTTCAGTTATGGAGGATGGGTAAGTCCTAGAGACCTACTATAAAGCATAATGCATATACTTAACAATACTGTATTGTATACTTAAAAAAATTTTTTTAAAAATTTTATTTATTTAGTTATTTGAGGGGGGGAAGCACGAGCAGGGGGAAGGGCAGGGGCGGGGAGACTCAAGCAGACTCCTCACTGAGCCCAGAGCCCCACGTGGGGCTCGACTGCACCACCCTGAGATCATGACCTGAGCCGAAACTGTGAGTCAGTTGCTTAACGGACTGAGCCACCCAGGGCCCCAAAATTTTTGTTTAAAGAGGATAGCTCTTATAGCAACTGTTCTTATCATGCTTGCTTGGGCAGAACATATACTAAAACTAAAACAATACAGAGAAGATTAGCATGGCCCCTGCACAAGGATGACACACAAGTTCGCGAAGTGTTCCATGTTAAAAACAAAGTTCTTACCACACACAAATAAAGAAGGAAAGAGGAAACTTTTAGAAGTGATCGTCAAGCTTTTGACATTGTGGTGATGGTTTCATGGGTGTTTACTTGTCTTTAAACTCATCAATATGTAATATTATATATATACAGCATTTTTGCATATCAGTCATACCTCAGAGAAAAAAACAAATGTAGGGTTTTTTAAACCACTAACATAAAGTGAACTCACAATTCATAAAAACTAACAGTTTTTGTTGGCTTCTTGTCATACTTGAGTTAGTTTTGTTCCTTTTGATGAATAGTTTCCATTTTTTGAAGAATAGAAAAAAGATATTTATCCTAAAAATATTTTTGGTCAAATAAATGTCTTTACATGAGATTATCTGTGATTTTAAATAAACATTACACATTAAAATTTTTTTTTTACCAAAAATCTCACTTTGACTGCTGTTCGGAGAATAGCCTGAAGGGGGCGAGAGTGGATACAGGAAGAACTATCAGGAGGTTTCTGGAGGTGAACCGTTGAGAGCTTTAGACTCTTGACAGGTTGAACCTACACATGAAGGTGCCTAAGGAAATGGCCAAAAGAGTAAGAACAGAATACATCATTTCTGAGGTAAGTAGAAGAAAAAACTGGAATGAGAAAAAAATCCGAGATAAGGCAAGGAGGATGAGTAAAAGAAATATAGAAAAGGAGGTCCAGGGGCGCCTGGGTGGCTCACTCGGTTAAGCAACTGCCTTCAGCTCAGGTCACCATCCCAGGGTCCTGGGACTGAGCCCTGGGGTCAGGCTCCCTGCTCAGAGGGGAGTCTGCTTCTCCCTCTCCCTCTGTCTCTCCACCCCGTCGTGCTCGCGCTCTCTCACTCTCTCTCAAATAAATAAATAAAATCTTTAAAAAAAGGAGGGACAATCAGAAATCACAAAATACATCCAAACCCATAATTTGCGTAATTGGAATTAACGCAGATGCTCTAAATCTCCACCACCTGATAGAGTGGCCAGGCACTGTGGCGCACTGGGAAGGTGGGCGGTCTGGGCTGAGATCCATCGGGCGTCAGTGGGAAATGCACTCAGAATTTGGAGACCTAGAATGAAAAAAAGTATAAAGCATCTCAATAATAATTTTAGACTGATTACACCTAGGAATGATTAACATTCTAGATACAATGCTAAATAAAATATTAAAATTCACCAATTTTTAAACTCTTAATTGTGCCTGCTAGAAAAGACTTAAATTACAGAGATGGCTCACATTACGTTTATACTGGACAGCATTGTTCTAAATATTCAAATTAAAAGACAATTATTGTCAGGCTGGATAAGAAAACTTAAAATCCAGCAACATGTTGTTGACATTTAAACATACAAGACATAACAAGTTGCTAATTAAAGGATGTAAATAGCCAGAAAGAAAGTTGGTTTAGCCCTACAAATAACAGACAGCACAGAGTTTAGTGTAAAAAGCGTTACTAGATATAACCATGAAAATATAACAGTTTTAATGTGTGTGCACTTAAAAACGGTCTCGAAATAAATGAAGCAAAAATTGACAGAACTTTTCAAACATGTGGATGGTATGAATTACACTGTTAGTGTAAAATGCTCTGCAAAAATTGAAGACTCAGAATGAAACAAAGGAGGAAGAATGTAAAATAGCTTGTATTAGATAATTATACCACTGAAGTAGGAGATTTTAAAAACACCCCTTGTGGCCATTGGTAGCTCAGGCTGACAAAAAGTAAGCATATAGGGCGCCTGGGTGGCTCAGTTGGTTGGGCGACTGCCTTCGGCTCAGGTCATGATCCTGGAGTCCCGGGATCGAGTCCCGCATCGGGCTCCCTGCTCGGC